ACAATCTGGCGCTTCTGAATCAGCTACTGTTTTGTTATTAGTTTAAGTATTTGCTATTGACTGTTCAAATGTGAAGTTTTGCGCATCGTGTGTGTGTGAGCGAGCGAGAGAGAGCGATTATAATTAATTTACTTATTTTACATCTCTATTGTTGTTTTGTTTATGTAATTTTTTAACATCTCCAGCACTTTTTAACAATACCGTGATAATGGTGATAACCGTGATCATTTTGCTCACTATAATCGTGATAAGAAATTTTCATACCGTTACATCCCTATTTCTTGAGCAGCAAATCAGTATATTAGAATGATTTCTGAAGGATGATGTGACACTGAAGACTGGAGTAATGATGCTGAGAATTCAGCTTTGCCATCACAAGAATAAATTACATTTTATAATATATTCAAATAGAAAGTTATTTTAAATAGAAAGAAATCACAATATTACTGTTTTTACTAACCAAATAGTTCTAGCCTTAGTGAGCATAAGAGACTTTAAGAAATTCACACACTATGTTCCAACTAAGAGTATGTGGTAGTGCCATTCCAAATATGCCACAACTTCTGTTTTCCCTCAACTATGCTTTACTTGTAAGTGTATTGCAAAACCTCTACAATGCCCATTTTGTATACATGCTTTGTTCTCATCCTTAGGTGGTGCTAGAGACGGAAATCACCAACAAATCGGCCCTGAAACTCTATGAGAACCTGGGCTTTGTCAGGGACAAGCGGCTGTTTAGATATTATTTAAACGGAGTGGATGCACTTCGGCTCAAACTCTGGCTTCGCTAAATCAAACTACGGGGTCCCTCAACTCTTTCTCCATCCCTTTGGCCTCCTCTTCCTCCGCCACAGTCCTCTGGCTCAGATCACCCATCAATAGAAAGACACTTGACCTCTGCTGAGCCACAAAGCGCAAACTCTGAGGGAAAATTCAACCAATCATAATAAAGTGTTTTAAGAACTTGTGCGAAAGAAAGAGAGGTTGTGGGGGGGGGGGAGTCAGGTACTAATATGACACTGCCACTGAAAAGGAAACGCGGTGGCTTCTATGCTCAGGTGTCAATAGCCTGAATTAAGACCTCTGTGTATTTGTGTCGCGTAGCGGAGATGAGCTGGGCCGAACATGTTGACGGCATCCGCGAAACGTATCATGCCGAAAGTAAACAATGCGCCACACTTCTGTTGTTGTTTTTTTTTTCTTCTTACGAACAATCACAAACCGAAGGATGGAAATGTGTTTAAACGGACTCAACTACTCAAATCAATTTTTGTTTTTTTCCTTAAAAAGAGAGTGCACGGGAGCATGGCAGGTTGCAATTGTGTTGTAGCCTGCTGCTTTGCGTGGTTTTGCTTTTGTTTCCATACTGGGGTCTGTGGTTTATTTTATGCGTTTAATTTTATGTTTTGGAAAACACTGAGCAGAGCTTTGTCCGCTTAAGAAGTTTGATCTATGATAAACTAACATACACAGATTCAGAAACACTTTAACCTGAATGCTGCGAAGTTGGTCTTATTAGCTCACATTATGCCATATTGGTTTACGTGACTTGTGATTCTGACAGGAATATCATCATCTCACCATACAAGCTGTCTCGATGCTTCTTCATGAGTGTTTTGTACTACTAAATTGAAATGAACATGAATTTCTAAATGGGCCTAAAAGGAGAGTATTCCCTGTTATTTGAGGACTTTTTACCAGAGTCATTCTCCCTTTCCATGTCTTATATGATGTTTGGATATTCAGATATGCTGACCTAGACAAATGAACCTCAAACGGACGCACTTCTCATTTTTGCACTGATTAGATGGGGTATAATTTCCTTGTCCACCACTGCGTTAGTGGACCAGTAGGGAGCAGAATACAGATCTCACCAGCTCAGTTGCTCCAATGGACTCATGCAAATAGTTGCTTTAAAGTCATGAAACAGATTGATCTATATGCAAGATAACATCGTTTTGAGGTGTTTTAAAATTTAACGGAGGACATTTCTGGAGGTTAGCGTTTTTATGGGTTTGTGTTTAACAGTAGTGTGCTGTGGCAGGTTGCACCATCACCCATGTTGTATGTAAGTGTTTCTATGTCATTGCCAATAGACCCCCATTTTGCTTTGCTGCTGGCTCATGAGTTGCTCTTGGAAGAAAACCTTTTTGTTTATTCAAGTTTGGAGTGGGAAACACGTTTTTTTTATTTGCTAAATGTACATATGGAAGTTTGATTTGTCGTTTTTGATTGTCATTGGAAAAGTTCCCCATAGAGTTGCTGCTCTCAGTTGTTGAGAAGATTGATGGGTTGCTTTATAAATTCGCGCTTAAATACACTGATTTTGCGGATGAATTTATGGGAAGAGGAATTTATGCATCTTTTTTTTTTTTTTTTTTGGATTGTTTTCGGTTTAGTTGCATTTTTTTAAAGCCCAAATTGAAGTACATCTACCAGAAATGTAACGGTCCCATCACTCCCCTTTGATGCATCAGACTGTGTGCTGTCAGTAAGTCTCAGGTGTTTGGTTTCTGTTCAATTCTCCTTTCATTTGTCAAGGGCTCCTTTCAAGGTCCCAGTGGTTATTAACAGCCAACTTGTCTTTGTAAAGACTTTATTCCTTTTGATTTGTGGACAGTTGCTGTTAAGATGGAAATTTGAGAGCCTTTGAGTAGTTTTCATCTAAACAGACCATCTTAAATCAGTCTTTAGATTACAGATGAAAATTTAGTCTGAAATCAAGGGATAGTTTAGATTCACATCATCATTTACTCACCCTCATATTATTCCAAACCTATTTGTGTTTGTTTTCTGTAGAACACAATAGAATATATTTTGATAAATAAGTTTTTTTTGTCCATACAGTCAAGAGTCTCCCCTGGTTTTTATTGACTTTTATTGTATGGACAAAAGCAGCTGAAACGTTCTACAAATTACATTATTTTATGTTCTGCAGAAGGTAGAAAGTCATATAGGTTTGAACAATATTAGGATGCGTAAATGATGACAATTTTCTTTTTTTGGTGAAGTATCCTGTTATAAAATTCAAAACCTTTCACAAGCTGCCAACCTTGACAGACAATAATGCATTTCTGGCTAATTTTCGGATGAATACTTATTGTTTAAAATTGTGGTTGGCACAATGATGTTGTTTTGCACATTGAATTTTTGGAAAATGAAATTTTTGCATTTTTTTTTTTTTTTTTTTTGGATTGTTTTCGGTTTAGTTGCATTTTTTTAAAGCCCAAATTGAAGTACATCTACCAGAAATGTAACGGTCCCATCACTCCCCTTTGATGCATCAGACTGTGTGCTGTCAGTAAGTCTCAGGTGTTTGGTTTCTGTTCAATTCTCCTTTCATTTGTCAAGGGCTCCTTTCAAGGTCCCAGTGGTTATTAACAGCCAACTTGTCTTTGTAAAGACTTTATTCCTTTTGATTTGTGGACAGTTGCTGTTAAGATGGAAATTTGAGAGCCTTTGAGTAGTTTTCATCTAAACAGACCATCTTAAGTCAGTCTTTAGATTACAGATGAAAATTTAGTCTGAAATCAAGGGATAGTTTAGATTCACATCATCATTTACTCACCCTCATATTATTCCAAACTTATTTGTGTTTGTTTTCTGTAGAACACAATAGAATATATTTTGATAAATAAGTTTTTTTTTGTCCATACAGTCAAGAGTCTCCCCTGGTTTTTATTGACTTTTATTGTATGGACAAAAGCAGCTGAAACGTTCTACAAATTATATTATTTTATGTTCTGCAGAAGGTAGAAAGTCATATAGGTTTGAACAATATTAGGATGCGTAAATGATGACAATTTTCTTTTTTTGGTGAAGTATCCTGTTATAAAATTCAAAACCTTTCACAAGCTGCCAACCTTGACAGACAATAATGCATTTCTGGCTAATTTTCGGATGAATACTTATTGTTTAAAATTGTGGTTGGCACAATGATGTTGTTTTGCACTGCCAATATCTGACTTGTGGATTATTACTGTAAGCTATCCATCAAATGTTATGGCCATTTAACAGCTTTAGACCAAACAGCTGGCAGGTTCTAGCTGGATAAGATCACTATTCTGTGGACACTAATCTGACTGGCTTCTGTTTGGGGAATTATTCATTGATGGGACTAATTTTGAATCTGCACTTGTGGCTAATTCTCATCCCTGTAAACGGTGGAGTTTATGTTGTAGTTAGTGTTACTCTTGTACTTTCAGCTAATGAGTTGGACAAGCGAGACAATGCTCTACAAACATGGATCCATTTTGTTGGGGAAAGAGCGACCGTTTGCATGTTGATTAAAATTTTCTCCACCCTTCTTTCTCCTACTTTCACCCCTGACAAAATGTTTTGCAAAAGTTTATTTGTTTTCAAGTGGACAACAGACCTGGTTTAAAAATTATAAATAAATTATTTGATTTTTAAACAAATGTAGTAGCTTGTTCTTTCTGAAAGGAGACCTGGGGACTTTTATAACGTTTCATTTGTAACATATTGATTTCCATTGGTTTTTAATTATGTGGTTTATTTTATTGATTAATGGTTAAGTATGTAAATATGTGCCACCAGTGGCAACCAAGCAGAATCATTTTATGTGTCCAAACATAGTGGTATTTTTTTTTAGGCAGAACTACATATTTGGCTGAATAATGGTAGCCAGGGAATTGTCTGGAACTTGTTTGCAACATCATTTTAAAATTAGTTTTGATGCTGCTAGTAGTGCAACAATTAGAAACTTGACCTTTAAACCTTGCTTACTCCAGTAAGGAAAAAAAAGGTCATTGCAGCAAAAGTAACAAAGTTCAACATCAGCTGTGCTCAGATGTAGTTTTATTTATTTACCTCGTCAGTGGTACTTGATTATCCATGGATGTTAATTTAAATCTGTTAAAATTCATTTTTGTTGTCAAGAGGAGGCAGCTGTACTCAAAACCACCACAATGTTTATTTTAACATGATAATTGCACAAGACCGATTTACATGACAAGATTTTTTTTTTATTCGTGAGACTACATCAAATCCTGTTTTACAGTCAAATTGCAAATGTAGCATAATGATTTGCATGTTCTGACTTTATGGTCTTTAGACTCCATTTGTTTTGCATAATCATAATACCACATCGTGTAACAATTGTTTTGACCAGTTTAAAGTTTATTTATATTATGCTTTCATAAGTTGTTTGATGGTTAGCCACTTCGTCCTTTGTTTTTCCTGATAGATTTATTGAAAAAGTGCAAATCTTCCTATTTTTAGGCTGGTGGGAAAAGCATTGTGGAATGACTTTAACATATCTGTCTGGGCAGTCGTAGCCTAATGGTTAAAGAGTAGGACTTGTAACCCAAAGGTCAGGTTCAAGTCTCTGTACTGGCAGGGATTGTAGGTGGGGGGAGTGAATGATTGAGGTGCCCTTGAGAAAGGCACTGAACCCCCGACTGCTCCCTGGGTACTGCAGCAAAAATGGCTGCCCATTGCTCTGGGTGTGTGTGTTCACTACTCACTGCTGTGTGTGTGCACTTGAATGGGTTAAATGTAGAGCACAAATTTTGAGTATGGGACACCATACTTAACTACACATCACTTGATTTCACACTTGGATAGTTCACCCAAATTTTTTTTTGTAATTTGCTTAAAATTGACTTAGGCTGAGGATCCATTGGTGAGCAAGTGATGTAATGCTAATGTTTTTCCAAAACTGTTTTGATAAAGAACCCCATCTACATCTTGTTTGGGCTGAAGCAAATTGTATTTTTGGGTGAACTATTCCTTTAACTCAAAAATGTTTGCCTAGTTAAAAAAAGACCAATTCCTGCTGGATAGGAATTATCATAAACATTACATGTCATTGGAACACCTTTTTATATTGGACAAAACAATGGAAGGAAATGGGTTATGTCATTTGGTTGCAGGGGATTATGATCTGGTGACTGGTAAGAGATTCTGGTTCTTAGGATTGTAGTATTGTCATCTCACACCTAGAAGGTCCCTAAGTTTGAGTCCCCTTTGAGTCAGGAGGACATTCTGTTTGTTCTCCCCATGTTGGTGTGGGTTTCCTCCAGGTGCTCCAGATTTCTCCACAATCCAAAGACATGCGGGACAGGTGAACTGGAGACAATAAATTGCCGCCCATGTGAGTTTGTTAGCCCTGCGATGGACTGGCCATGCATCCAGGGTGTTTCCCTGCAGCCGAGATGCACAAATAGGCTCTAGCATCACCACAGGACAAGCTAATTTGTAAAATTGGGAATGATGTTGCAACCTTTCTTCAGCAGCCCAGGCTGTTAACCATTACGCTCTCACTATTGTGAAAGAACTATTCCAGATTAAAGTGCTCCAATTTACACCTGGCAAGAAATGGAAGGATCAAAGTGTATTTGTAAAGCACTGATGACTTGCACCTGAATTCTGCAGACTCCACAGGAATTATAAACAGGTATGGCCTACTTGTTTGCTAGAAGTTGTAGTAGTTGTACTAGAAGTGTACTACCGTAATCACATTTCCCTCTCATTTATGAACTGAAGGATGAGTTAATGGTGTCCCGAGTAATTGATAACATACCACATATGCAATACAAATCAGCTTGAAGCATAATTTCATGTACACTTGTGCTTGCATCCTCTCAGACTAACCGTGCTTTTCAGAGTCTGCCTGTAACAAAGGCCTCTTGTTAATTTCCTATTCTTCCTGTGGATATATTTTCCTGGATGAATCAGAGTAATGTCCATACTCGTTTTTCAGTATGCCAAGGTAACTTCACATTTGCATTGCAAGGCCTTTGCACAGTTTCTGTCAAACCACTGTCCAGATCTGTTCTACTCCTTCGAGAGTTCAGGCAGTTTTTATGACAACATTCCTTCCCCAGACCTCTACTTTTCTGGTTTTCTACGTCTGATGGAATTCCATTTTCCATTAGTGGTTTGTCACTCGTGTCTCCCACGTTTGGGTCTGTCAACTGTGGACTTGGCTGCAGCATCTCCCTTACATCCAGAATCCGTCCTTCAGATTCATCCCAGAAGATGTTTTGTTGCATTGGCCTGGACACAAGCCGAACCCTCTGTCCTCCTTCCATCTCATCTCCTTCCACTGTCACATAAGACAAGACATCAGTGAGGTTAAGTACTCAACCAAAATGGAAAGGCCCATTTGGGCAATTCAACAATTGGTAAAACGGTTTAACTGAGGGACTCACGATAAGAGGTGTACACCCTCTTCTGTTTCCCTCGACTTTCCCTAAAGCACCTCTGCTGAGCTTGCTGCTTCTTGGTTGCTTGGCGACTGAGCATCGTCTGTGCCAGCAAGGGACCTTTCATGTGTCCCTGCGAAGGTCAAGAACGCTTGAGTGATCCACCTAAAATAGCCTCAATGTGTTAATGTAATTCCAAGTGCCATTTTTAAGTAGTTGCTAAAATCTTGTCATGACAATTCTTGAAGCCTCAATAGAGAGTGTCCCACCTTTGGTTTAGGGATTGAGAGACTGCAATATGGTTTCAGTGGCACAAATATACAATTAAAATTGACTGGAAAGGTTGGTTGAGAACGTAAATCTCTCTTGGTGTCGACGGCACTGGGATTTCCAGAGTGTGGAGAAGGGATCTACTCCTGGTCCCCTGTACCCTGATGATGGATCCCAGTTGAAGGTAACATGGCTGCACCCACCATATTTTCCACTCCAACAACACTGTAATCAGATCTAGTGGGACCACAGGGCAAGGCTCAGTGCTCACCAGCTGTCAGTCTTCTCCCTCTTTATCTACATCTTTTAGTCTTGAAACACCATCAGAAACTCTCCGTTCCTGAGTTTTCACAGACCCCACCCTTTCAGAATATATCTGACGGCACTTCTATTAGCATACTTCTCTAAATGAAATGCAAGGTAATGAACCAGAGGGGAAAAAAAGTTTCCCGGGAATGGGCCTTTAGAATTTTGAGAATATTCCGCAAGGGGGTCCTGATTTATTTTGCGATATTAATCCGCTGGCTGTACATCAGGGGTTCTCAACTCTGGCCCTTGAGGTCCACTTTCCTGCAGAGTTTAGCTCCAACCCTAATCAAACACACCTGAACAAGCTAATCAGGCAGATGAGTTTGATCAAGGTTGGAGCTAAACTCTGCATTAAAGTGGATCTCGAGGGCCAGATTTGAGAACCTCTGCTGTACATTATCCTTTACATATCTTCAAACCTTACAGCACTATCCCGTCAATGAATTTAGCTGTTACTTTGAGAAGATTCAAGCAAGAAGTTTACTTTGAACGTATTTGGTTTCATGAATGTTGCGCTTTTTAAATGTCCACCCTGAAAAGAGCTGTATACCTGTAGTGTTTTGCTTGTGCCACAGTGCCCTCCCAGGATGGGATTGGAATAGCAGTGGACAGGCCCATCTCTCCATTCCCTGTCCTGACAAGAAAAAAATGTATGATGTTCATTAAAAGGTGAGATATTAGCTGCTCTCAGATTTACCCTCTTTAAAAACAACTTTAAAATTATTAATTCTTTCAAACAAAAATTGAAGAACATATTGAAAGACCTCAGATTCTGCAGATTTGTATGCCACGCATGCATGTTTGACAGGATTCACATCAGCCCCTATGGCAAGGGTCACTGATTGCCATCCCTGTGAGTTGAATGCTTGTAATTAGAATCAAAATTAAAATGAAAGACTTTAAAGTAACTATACAGTATGGTCAGACCTTTTCTGGTTGTGGTGGGTGAGACTTAATAATGCTGTGACCAGTTTTATCACAGACACTCTGAGATCCTGTGGGTGACATCACAACTTGCAACACAAGCATGAATGAAATAATCATAAAAAACAAGGCTCATGACTTGTTTAAAAAATGTTAGGATAAAAAATAGATTGTTAAAACATAAGTGTACAATGGGTACTCCACTATAGCACCAAAAGGAACTGAGCTGTAATGTAAATGTAACTTCTAAACAGGTTTTCTGAAAGCTTCCCCCATCTGCCATTGGTCAAACATTAAAGGGATAGTTCACCCAAAAATGAAAATTTGATGTTTATCTGCTTACCCCCAGGGCATCCAAGATGTAGGTGACTTTGTTTCTTCAGTAGAACACAAACAAAGATTTTTAACTCAAACCGTTGCAGTCTGTCAGTCATATAATGGCAGTCAATGGGCTCCAAGTCTTTGAGAGTAAAAACAAAACATACGCAGACTCGTGACGATACATTGAGGTCTTAAGACACAAAACGATTGGTCTGTGCAAGAAACTGAACAGTATTTTTATAATTTTTTTTTACCTCTGATCCACCGCAATGTCCAACTGTCCTGAGCGCGTTCACAACATCCGGCGCGTGACGCATCAACATATATCATCATATAAGTAGATTCTCGCGGCCCATAGAAACGGTCACTAATGAGGCATCTACTTAGCACTATCCCGTCAATGAATTTAGCTGTTACTTTGAGAAGATTCAAGCAAGAAGTTTACTTTGAACGTATTTGGTTTCATGAATGTTGCGCTTTTTAAATGTCCACCCTGAAAAGAGCTGTATACCTGTAGTGTTTTGCTTGTGCCACAGTGCCCTCCCAGGATGGGATTGGAATAGCAGTGGACAGGCCCATCTCTCCATTCCCTGTCCTGACAAGAAAAAAATGTATGATGTTCATTAAAAGGTGAGATATTAGCTGCTCTCAGATTTACCCTCTTTAAAAACTACTTTAAAATTATTAATTCTTTCAAACAAAAATTGAAGAACATATTGAAAGACCTCAGATTCTGCAGATTTGTATGCCACGCATGCATGTTTGACAGGATTCACATCAGCCCCTATGGCAAGGGTCACTGATTGCCATCCCTGTGAGTTGAATGCTTGTAATTAGAATCAAAATTAAAATGAAAGACTTTAAAGTAACTATACAGTATGGTCAGACCTTTTCTGGTTGTGGTGGGTGAGACTTAATAATGCTGTGACCAGTTTTATCACAGACACTCTGAGATCCTGTGGGTGACATCACAACTTGCAACACAAGCATGAATGAAATAATCATAAAAAACAAGGCTCATGACTTGTTTAAAAAATGTTAGGATAAAAAATAGATTGTTAAAACATAAGTGTACAATGGGTACTCCACTATAGCACCAAAAGGAACTGAGCTGTAATGTAAATGTAACTTCTAAACAGGTTTTCTGAAAGCTTCCCCCATCTGCCATTGGTCAAACATTAAAGGGATAGTTCACCCAAAAATGAAAATTTGATGTTTATCTGCTTACCCCCAGGGCATCCAAGATGTAGGTGACTTTGTTTCTTCAGTAGAACACAAACAAAGATTTTTAACTCAAACCGTTGCAGTCTGTCAGTCATATAATGGCAGTCAATGGGCTCCAAGTCTTTGAGAGTAAAAACAAAACATACGCAGACTCGTGACGATACATTGAGGTCTTAAGACACAAAACGATTGGTCTGTGCAAGAAACTGAACAGTATTTTTATAATTTTTTTTTACCTCTGATCCACCGCAATGTCCAACTGTCCTGAGCGTGTTCACAACATCCGGCGCGTGACGCATCAACATATATCATCATATAAGTAGATTCTCGCGGCCCATAGAAACGGTCACTAATGAGGCATCTACTTATATATATCTATGTCTACTATGCCAGAGCACGTACACACGTCACGTGCTGGCTGTTGAGAACGCGCTCAGGACAGCTCGACATTGCGATAGATTAGAGGTAAAAAATTATATAAATAATGTTCAGTTTCTTGCACAGACTGATCGTTTTGTGTCTTAAGACCTCAATGTATCGTCACGAGCCGCAGGGTTTAATTTGGTTTTATCTGTGTATGTTTTTTTGACTCTCAAAGCCGTGGAGCCCATAGACTGCCATTATATGACTGACAGACTGCAACGGTTTGAGTTAAAAATCTTTGTTTGTGTTCTGCTGAAGAAACAAAGTCACCTACATCTTGGATGACCTGGGGGTAAGCAGATAAACATAACATTTTCATTTTTGGGTGAACTATCCCTTTAAAATGATCCACCCAGGATGAATTCAGAATAGCGTACAACCATATAACTCTTACCTATAAGTGCAAGTAATATACTAGTATGCTAACCTAAATTCAGCCTTATAGTCTCTGCATACTAGGTTGGGAAAGTATGTAAGTAACTTCACACTTCAAACTTATAAGACTTTTTTGCACTGTGTAATACTTTTGTCTGAACAGCATTCAGTTAGCAATGTCATGAGTAGACTTGATAGTTGATGCTCTATTTTGCTGAAATTCAAAAGTCAAAATGGGTTTAAAACTGTTGTTCTTGTTTCACTAGGCGTAAGCATGAACTGTGGTGCTCTGCAACATATTCATATAATAATATTGTTCATAATTACTGCCAAATGTAAAGTCTAATGATCACAGTACTCACCTGGTTCTAATTGAACAGAATTGGGTATTTTGTGTCTTCCTGCCAAAGGAGGCAGATGGTTGGTCTTCCTCTGTCCCACAATCCCTTTCTCTTGCATCTCTGCACATTTAACAGCAGTGATCATCCATGGTGAAGATGGAAACAGAGAAGGGTCATCCTCCATTGGTTGACAATGAGATGGTGCAACTTGGCAAATCCTTGGCCTGGAGTTGCTATTCCCCATGGTGAATTTGTACTCCCAGCCAAGGTAAGTTAAATATCAAAATAGGTTCCTCAAGGAACTGCATTAGACTCCATTTCTTGCCCTTTTTTCCAAGGTGCAATCCAGGCCTAACACTTCACTCCATCTGAATGTTGTATCCAGGGCTCCTCACATATGGTAGAATACGTAATATTGAACTTGAGGGTATGTACTCTTCAAAAAAAAAAAAAAAAAAGTCCACTGGCATCCGATCCGGTTAAACTGTTCGGTTAAGTTTTGACTTAACCTAAACAAAGAGTATTCCCCCTTAGTTCTGCTTAACTGTACAAAATGAAACTCTGGCAAAGTTGTGTTGAGAAATGGCAGGTGCGTGCCCCCCTCTCTCTCTTTATATTTCTCGGTTTTGGCGTAATGAGGCAAGTTTCCATGGTGACTGTCCCCACAGGTTACTTTATAACTGTGTGTTAATGCTTGGACGGCGGTGAGAGGCCCGTCTCTCCACTGATTGCTCAGGCATGCGACTGCCCGGGGAACCAAGCTTGATGATTGACAGAATTAGATTGTCTGATTACAAGAAGTATAACTTGATGTTAGAGAAAACAAACCTAGCTGGCTTGTTGTAATTATTACACAGCAATGTAATCTTTTAACTTTTAAATAAACAAAAGCTGCCGGCTACAACCTCGGATTGATCCACGTCTTTATGACTATGATGGAACAGATCATTTTTTTTATTATATACATATTAGATTAATACATTTTGAAAATTGTTTTATACCATTTTCACCAAATGTTTAATTTTGACCAAAAATGTAAATTGTCATCAAATTAACAATAATATAGTTTTCTTATCTTCATCTAGCTGATACATTTGTAAGTGTATACAAAGTTGACAAACATACACTATATGACCAAACCAATATATACTTTTGGCCAGTGTATTTTTCAAGATAATATTTTTGGATTATGAATATTATTGATTTCTGAAGCATTACCTATTCAGAGGTAATACCATTTAACATGCATACAGTATATGTGTGTGCATTTAAATATCAAAGAATCTATATATTCATCACAGAATAATGAAAAACATGCACGGCTATGTTTAACATTGATAATAATAAAATGTGAGCACCAAATATTGGAATGAAAATCATATTAGACTGAAAATTCTTCAGCAACCATTACTCCAGTCTTCAATGTCAAATGATCGTAAAAAATTTTTTTTTAATAATAATAAAAAAAAAAAAAATAATCACATTTCAATTTGTATTTCAAATAAATACTATTGTTTTGAACTTTCTATTCATCAAAGAATCAGGGGGGGGGGGATTTATTAGTTTCCACAAAAATGTTGTTAAGCGCAACCGTTTTCAACATTGATAATAGTAAGAAATGTTTTTGAGCAACAAATCAACATATTAAAATGGTTTCTGAAGGATCATGTGACATCAGTAATCTAATTATTTACCTTATTCTGAATAAGACAATATTACGATTAAGGTGTTTACATGAGTTGCTTTTAGAATATTCCTTTCATGTTCCTGTTTTACATGTTATAGTACATAGATCGATTAATGGCACATGCCGTTACGTCACCACGCGACGCCATCCGACGTCCCCTCCAGAATTGCACGTATAAGCATATAGTATTAAAATCAGAGTATTTTTGTCCATGTGAAAGTACTACGTTTACATGGACAACAGTACTCAGATTTTAATACGATTAAGACAATACTCTGATTAAGAATCTACCACGTACACAGATATTTTTGATTACCTTAATTCGGCTAAAGTCATAATCGAAGTAAACACTAATCGAATTAAGACATGTGGCATATTCCTATTTTAGTCGCATTATTAAAGTGCAGTAACATGTACATGTACACACCTTAATCACATTATTACCATCGTGTAGGACTTTTCGCTGCATTTTCCGACAGGATACACACATGGCAGTGCTCAACCGTTTGACTGCATACAAAAGAATGGCTTCAACAACGCCGTCGTCTGTTCGCATAGCATGACAAATAATTAACTGCACTTGAAGCTTTCAGTAAATTAAAAATGAAACACCCACAACTGTATTTGGCATCATAACGAAGACAAACTATATGTTTTTACATGAAATTCTGGAGGGGATGTCGGATGGCGTCGCGTGGTGACGTAACGACGTGTGCCATTAATCGATCTATGTACCATAACATGTAAAACGGGAACATGAAAGGAATATTCTAAAAGCAATCATGTAAACACAATAATGGCACATGCCGTTACGTCACCACGCGACGCCATCCGACGTCCCCTCCAGAATTGCACGTATAAACATATAGTATTAAAATCAGAGTATTTTTGTCCATGTGAAAGTACTACGTTTACATGGACAACAGTACTCAGATTTTAATACGATTAAGACAATACTCTGATTAAGAATCTACCACGTACACAGATATTTTTGATTACCTTAATTCGGCTAAAGTCATAATCGAAGTAAACACTAATCGAATTAAGACATGTGGCATATTCCTATTTTAGTCGCATTATTAAAGTGCAGTAACATGTACATGTACACACCTTAATCACATTATTACCATCGTGTAGGACATATCGCTGCATTTTCCGACAGGATACACACATGGCAGTGCTCAACCGTTTGACTGCATACAAAAGAATGGCTTCAACAACGCCGTCGTCTGTTTATATATGTCGTTTGAAAGTATAGAAGATATATAGAGTATCATGGCATGTGTTCCCATTTCTGTCTCCACACCTGCGGCTTCTTTAAATATATATAAGATCACCTAAGAATCTCAAAGCTCATGTAAGGTCTCTCTTAAATTATGAGAATATATAT